AAATAAATAAGGAACTAAATGATATTATATTTGATATAATAAAAAAAAATTCAAACTTGTGCATTGTGCATTTTGATAAGAGATAAAAATTCAAATTTGTGCATTTTGATAAGAGATAAACTTTATTGGATTGTATTATGAGCACTATATCCCTGACTTTAATATCTTTTATATATTTTTTAAGATATGTTTAGAAATCAATAAATATAATAATTTTGTAATTCTAATTAAATAGTCATAGAATTTAATATTTTATCTATTCGTTTTCTTGTATAATGTAATAAATGCATTTGTAGATCATTTAAAAATATTATAAGAACTAAAGNGTTTAACGGAGCGTGAAAATGAACAATAACCAAGATAGGAGGGGTGAATTGTTCTTTTAAAAGCACACACATAATTTATGAATAAAAGATGCAGAGATAGATAAAAGCACACACATAATTTTATCCTAGTTCAAATCAAAAGATTCTATGTCGAATCGTTAATCACTATAAAAGAGTGATTAACTTTTTCACTATAAATCAGTTTTAGATTAGAATGAGAATGATAAAACAATAAGAACAAAATACACCTTCTTTCTACACATGATGGAATGAATATCACCTCAATCAACTTGTAGAGAACCGCTTGAACCTTTAGACACACTAACCACAAGCTCCTTTCTCAAGACTTGATTAAGCTCACACTTAAACTAGAGAACTTCTTCAAAACAATTTTCTGCTCTCAAATGGTTTAGGTAACCTTTAAAAGGTTTAGGAAGGTTCTATATATAGGTTAGGGGTTAGAAAATGAAAAGACAATTCACAACTACAAGTGATAATATATCGAGTCGTTATGAGTTTTGAAAAACGTGATAATCGATTATTGTCGAACCCTAGACAATATCAAAACTTGAAGTAATAATCGATTATCCCTATGATAATCGATTATTGTCGAGAAGAACCATTTTTCCACTTTTACTTGTGATAATTAATTATCTCTTATGATAATCGATTATTGACACAAGAAATCACTAAGTTATGAAACTTCTAATTGCTTTACAATTGAAAAATAACTCCTATACAAATGCTTTCTATAAAGAATGCTTTTAACGTTTAAAGTATTGGATTCTTCAAGTCTTCGGTCTTTATGTTCATCATCATCAAAATCTCTTCAACGGATCATTGTTTCTCATTGGTATAACGTACTCGTTCTCTTTAGACTAGAGAGGGATTGTACCTACAAAAGACACTTTAACTTCCAAGTCAACCAAATGCATCAGCTAGTAATAAATGAATATAAATTGCATACCTTAAAAATTGTGTTATTTATACTACTGTTCATGAGTCCTTACTTGGATCGGTCTAAACCACGTGGCCTAATAACCTATTAATCTTAAATTATTGTAGTTAATTATGAATTATTGTGAATAATAAATAGTTAACATGATATTGTCTTAATCGAATATATATACAAACCAATTACATATCAATTTAGCATACTAACCAGCATTCAGTTAGGAACAATTCTTATGTTGTCGTGATTGATAAGATATATACAATACAAACTCAATAGAAAGACTTAGTTTTTATAATACTTTGCAAACTTTCACATTAAAATTAAAACTTCGGTTCAATACATTATATTGAGATATGTTTGATAAAGAGAAAGAATAATAATATTATACAAATTGGGCAAAAAGATGAAAATAAATAAGGAACTAAATGATATTATATTTGATATAATAAAAAAAAATTCAAACTTGTGCATTGTGCATTTTGATAAGAGATAAAAATTCAAATTTGTGCATTTTGATAAGAGATAAACTTTATTGGATTGTATTATGAGCACTATATCCCTGACTTTAATATCTTTTATATATTTTTTAAGATATGTTTAGAAATCAATAAATATAATAATTTTGTAATTCTAATTAAATAGTCATAGAATTTAATATTTTATCTATTCGTTTTCTTGTATAATGTAATAAATGCATTTGTAGATCATTTAAAAATATTATAAGAACTAAAGACAAAATAAGAAAAAATAATAGATAAGATTAAATTTTGCAGAAAATATAATCCTGAAAGAGAAAGCAAAAGCTTTTGTGGTTTCCTTGGTGGTTGGTACATGTCCTTAGTGTCCAAGTTTATGAGTTTTATTTATTTATATTTCTTATTTATTTTTTGTTGTACCCAAATAAATCACATTAAATTAAATTTTGAAGTCCACTCACATCCTGCACCATATTTTATGACCAGACCTTAGTCTTCCTCTAACGTTCATTTGTCCCACATTTGACGCTTTGTTCACTTACTCACTCGCTACTCGCTTTCTGCCACCCTGGTGGCGCGTGAGTCTCAACTACCGCATTTTCGTTGGGCCTTCTTCACTGCGATCATTAGTGATTCTTTTTGCTTTCTGTTGTCGATTTTCAATTTTCTTACTTTCTTGTGATTTCGGATGTGGTCGATGTGCCAATACGGTGTCGATTTGTCCCCTGTTATGTGTTGTTTGCTACCTGCATTGGTTCTTGCTTCTTAGATGATTATGTTAGGAAAGTTTGGTTGCATCATGCTTTTCTTTCATGTAAAGGCGATGAATTTGTTAAAACTAAAAGTAAGAAGGAAAGAATGACATGGGTTCGACTCAGTTGCCGTTGTGTTAGTTTTAGAAGAAAATATTCTTTGGTTTTGTTTCTGATTGTTTTCACGTTTAACCACATTTCTACTTATGGTTGAATGTGATGGAGTAGAGTAGAAGGAAAAAGATAATCACAACAATAACTGGGTCTTTCCAAAGGATTTAGATGTTCCAAGTTTTGGATTTTTAAAGGCTTTCAAACAGCCTGAATGTTTTATGGTGAATCTTTCTTTGAAAGCTCTGAATTTTCATAATACATTTTGGCCTTTTTTTTGAAGAATGAATTTATGCTTTTTAACCTTGCATTTGATTAGTTTTCATGTAAAAGCATTCATTATCCTTTCACTCATATGTTTGTGTTTTTGTGGTATTAATTGAGATCCACTCGTCATATGTGTTTCCCCTACATTTGATTGTAAAAGCGTTATTCCTTGAAGCCCATTGTGATGGTCCTTTTGTGATATTGCAGTGTAATTCGTCTTTTTGTAGTGGTACATTGAAATTCCTCGCTTTACATGCATTACCCCTTCATTTAATTAATAGAAGTCAATAGAGCACCATTCACCCCTATAGTGGTGATACATCAGCACAGCCCCCTGCCACTTCTGTGTGGGCTGTGGTGGAGCAGTACAATGTAATGGTTGTAGAGCAAATTGTGGCCGCTTATATGTAGAATTGTGGGCATCCTAGTTGCTACTTTTTCTCCTCCATTTGCATAACCTTGATTATTTGGCCCCTCAAATGATGTATCTGGTGCTGCTTTTGTATGCCATTGTTAATGCAGTGCAAACTGTGATCTCTTTGATATAGAATTGTGGTCATCCTAACTGTTATTCTTCTTTCTATGTACAAAACCCCATCTCCTCAAACAATTTCATGTGGTGTTGGTGCCGTTTCTGTATGCCATGGAGTGGAGCAAATCAGTATCATGGTTTGATTTGTGACCCCTTTCACATGGAATTGTCGGCTTTCCAGCTGTTAATCTTTTGAAATTTTCCATGTACTAAACCTGTTTGTTTGGCCCTTTGACGATGTCGCTCAGTGCTGTTTAAGGTGGGCAATATTGGAATTTGTCCCCTTTTATTTCATCATAATACTAACCTTATTTCCCCACTCAGTCCTTTCAATGGCTAAATTTTACACTATTCTCATTAGTTTCTATAATGATGTTGTCTGGTTCCATTTAAGATGTTAATATTGAGATTTCGCCCTCTCTTTGTTTCATCAGAATAGTAACCCTATTTGCCCAATTAGTTCTTAGAAAGGCTAAACAGTGCACAACTCTCTTTGGTGTCTTCTGTCTTCAACGCAAACCATCTGACTTAGAGCTCTAATCTGCATCTCTAGCCCACCTGTTGAACTCCTCCCTGGTTGAGTTTCCAGCCAATCACAATCTGTGGAACTTAGGCATACTGTTCTGTGTTCTCTACACAGTTCACATCCTTTGGGGTCAGTGTTGTTGACATTCAAAAGGCTCTATGTTCTGTTATATATGTGTGTGTTTGTTTGTCTTTGTGTTTTGTTTTCATTTCTTTCACCTGTATGTTTAGATCAAGGTTGTCAAACTCGAGAGTTTACGTAAACTCGTGAGAGTCCAGTAAACTGGACTCGCTGACTCGACTTATAAACTCGTAAGAGTTTACTTTTGTATGAAAAAAAATATAAATTAATAAAAATATTTTTCATACAAATATATTAATTAAAATACATAAATTCATAGAAATATTTTAAACATAAATAGAAATATCAAAGTCTTTATGTTTATTCCTCTATCCTCTAATGATGACGTCATTATCTTTGTCATCATCTTCGTCTAAGTCTTTCTCTCATGAATGTTGGACATCGTTGTTTCCAAATGTTAGAAATGAAAATACACTTGCATTAGTTTCCTTTAAATTTGATATGTTTTAAATGTTTTCACTAAAAAAATGGCAGGACTTAGAATTTAAAAAAACAAACAAAAACTTTCATTCCTCTAATAAAACTATGAGAATATAATTTTTTAATAAATCATTTACATACTAAAATAAAAAATCTAATAAAACAATATAAATTTCAATTTCAATAAAAATCATTCACATAAAAGTAAAAACATAAGTATATTTGGTTTATGTAATAAAAGAATAAAAAATTCATTTCCTAATAAAATCATACACAGGCTCACGGGTTATAATTTTAGAATAACAAAACTTCACCCACCACCAGCGGCTCGAAGAAGAAGGGCAGACCAGAAGTTGTGACGCGAGGAAGGCGGTGAGGATGGCGGCGATGACGGCGGCCACTGTGACAGTGATCACAAACCAGACGAACGATGACGGGGACGAAACGCGACAACGCAGGACGACTGAATGAGCGACGACGACCACGATCAGCAACCGGACCAAGCGCGATCACGAACGACAATCGGACAGAGCGGAGATTGATCACGAGCGACGAAGATCAGTGGTGGAGTGAAAAAGAAACAAAGAACACTAATCAGGTTTTAAACCCTAAACAAAACGACCCTTCTTTTCTTCGTTTCTGGCTATTTTCGAACTCGCTAAATCGCTGTGCAATCGCCATTCCAAACGATTCTACCGAGTTCATGTCCGATTCTACCGAGTTCAGTCCAAAAACGAGTTTGGTACCGAGTTAACTCGGCAACCATGATTGGAAACGTAAACTCGGATATGGTTTAGATAGCTACATTTATGATGCCCTTTCTTGCTGTATTTTTCCTCCTCTTTTATTTTCCTAACTTGTTATTAAATTCACTATTTCTCTCAAAATTATGACTTTTAATTAGTATTGTACAATTCATGATACGACTCTTCAGCTTGGTGATGAGAATCTGTTCGCTGAATTGATTATGTGGCTGAATTGAACATGAATCATTTGAATCACAAATGAATTGTGTGAATTGCATCTTGTATCACACATGAATAGTTTGATTCTTCTACAGCAGGTTGCAGCACCTTGCCATCCAATGTTCATCGTGTTGCACCTGGCAGTTGTGGTTGCAGTGATGCTTTTTTCCAGTCAAACTCATGCAAATGGGACAAAGAATGGTAATGTGTTTTTGCTCCTGAGTTTCAGTATGTGGCCTTATGATGCCATTTCTTTGCTGTATTTTTCTTTTCTTCTCCTCTTTTATAAGTGCTGGCTCTTGTATTATTAAATTCACTATTTTGCTTAGTATTATGACTTTTGTACAATTTACTACACTTATGTGGTATTATACATTATTTAATCTTGGTGATATGAATTTGTGGGCTGAATTGATTATGTACCCTGAATCCACATAATCACGTGAACCACACACATTATTGCCTTGGTCTTTCTGTATTATTCCATTGATATTTCCCCTTCAGTTATATCTATTTATTTGTGTCTCCTTCTTTCAATGTTTTTGAGTTCATAATATGAGGTGTTGATTATTTTCCTTGTTTGAGAATGTAATATTTTATTGAATGAATTTCTACACTGTTTTGATTTACTTGTGTCAACAGCTGTTGGTAGATTAAGACTGCTATTTGCCAAGTAAAATTAAAGTAGGTTTTTCCTTTTTTTAATTGTTAGTTGATGGATTATCTGACATTGTTTCTTTTCAAGCTCTTCAGCTTTTATGATTCTGTGTGCACTTTATGTTTTCCGTAAGTTATACTAACACACAAAACATAATTATACAGAACGAGCATATACAAATGAGTTCGAAAAGAGGGAGTGGGAGACCCAAAATGGCTAACAATGATATGTCCAAAGGGAAGAGCATATCCGAATCTCAGCCTAGTATTGATCAGTTGACTCAGAGTGTTGCTGACACCATGCTAAACTCAGGACAAGATGATGGTGAATGGGAGGTATATGCAAAAAAATCGAAGAACAGAGCTGGAAGCAGTGCTGCAAAGCCATGGGGGGCGCCAGCCCATAATTCTAATCCTAAGACTTGGGTGAAGCAGAAATGGCTCAAAGCCAGCATCCGATCATGGAGAGTTTGGAAGATCTTCTGGAAATTCCTGGCAGACACAAAATGCCCAACTTTAGGAGACCAGCTGGCAGAGGAAATGGTAGGCCTCAGTCAGCAACAAGTGGATATGAAGGCAACTATGTGCCTCCCAAATCCCTTAATCGGCCTCCACTTGAGCATGGCTGGAAATTGGCAATCCAGACCTTGGTGCAATACAGCCCAATGTAAGGAATGCAATAGCACCTGAACACTTGTACAGAATATGATGTTGATGATGACATGAGTGATGATGAAGAGGACCAGATGCTTTGAAGATACTGATGATGATCTACTGAGTGATGACTATGATTCTGATGTTAGTCCAAAAGAGTTCATGAGACACGTAAGAAGAACAAATGGTTTAGGAAGTTCTTTGAGAATTTGGATGGCTTGACTGTTGAACAGATTAATGAACCAGAAAGACAGTGGCATTGTCCAGCTTGTCAAGGTGGTCCTGGAGCTATTGATTGGTACAGAGGACTGCAGCCCTTGGTGACACATGCCAAAACAAAGGGATCTAAAAGGGTGAAGATTCACCGAGAACTTGCTATACTTTTGGATGAGGAATTACGCAGGAGGGGTACTTCAGTAATTCCAGCTGGGGAGGCATTTGGAAAATGGAAAGGTTTGAAAGAAGAAGAAAAAGATCATGAAATAGTTTTGGCCTCCAATGGTTATCATTCAGAATACGAAGCTTGAACAGGACGAAAATGATAAGGTGTATATTTTTATTGGTGTCAAATGAGAATAACTACCATTGTCATGTATATTTTTCTGGGGGGTTTTTGTTTGATGTACTGGAGCATAACGTCACAATTTCCACATTCTTACTTTGCTTGTATGTTGACGCCGGAGTTTGTCTTTTTATTCAGTGATAGTATGGGTAACCAAGAATATCTTCTTGATTATTTTAGCACATATGCTGCTGTTAAAGCTCGCCACTCTTACGGCCCACAAGGTCATCGAGGGATGAGTGTGTTGATATTTGAAGCATCAGCAAGCGGCTATCTAGAGGCAGAGCGTCTGGACAAGCATTTTACAGAGCAAGGAACTGATAAAGATTCTTGGTTCAATCGCCCTAATTTATATCTCCCTGGGGGAAAGCGCCAGCTCTATGGTTACATGGCTACAAAAGAAGATCTTGACTTTTTCAATAGGCATAGCCAAGGTTTCATTTCCTCTTTCCTCATTACTTTTCTTCTTATTTGTACTGTGCAAATTGTTGTGTACTATATATGCAGGTTAATTTATGTTTACAAAGTATAAGCTGGCTTTTGTCATCTCTTCTCATCTGAAATCATGTAGGTAATCTGACTAAAATTGACATGAGATCATACCATGAGATGGTTTGTACACCCAATTCTCCAATGAATGAAGACAACCCACACTTCTATAGTTTAAGAACCCTGTTTGTGAAAACCACTAAACCACGAAAACTCTTGAAAATCCATTGGTAAAATGTCTGAAAAGCTGCGCAAGACATGGAGGAGAACCGCTAGTGCGGAGGAGACTAAAATGCAACATGAGAAGACTATAGAAGAGGTACGACTAGATCAGACAGTATTTAGGGTTATTATTTTTATTGAAAGTGGTTACTGTTTTTGTGCATATTTGCTACTGATTACTTGTAGTCGTATTATTTCTGCCTGTCAGCGAGTGTGGTTAAAAATGTGTTTCTGCTTGATTGTTTTGTTCAAAAGTTTTGAGCTGTAATTTATTTTGTTTTAGTACAATATGGATAAGCTAAGTGGTCACATATTTTATTTCCTTTGTTGAGATATTTTGCTTATGAAAATGGTCTTCATGTACCCATTGAATTTCTGTTGATGTGTCAAATCAGACATCACTTAATTAAAGATAGAGTTGCATATCTGCATTTATTTCCCACCTAAATGTCACGTTGTTACTACTATATTGTCCTGCTTTCATTAAAAGTAAAAAAATAATCAATGAGCAATGATATGGTTGCACTGGCCTACATTTGCATTATGTTATCTATCGAAATGCTTGTTATATAATGATGCCTTGAAAGAGAAACAACAAATCCTGTAAATATTTGATCTAGGTTTGTTACTTTTTATCGGTCTGGGGCACACAACCGTTACCCAATTTTTCCATAAACAAATTGGATTAATGATTCCACCATGTTCTTGCCTTCTTTTGGGTTACCTTTTCCAATGCCCTGACCTTAACATGTTGTTTCTTCAAGAGACAAAAATGTTATTTGTTATTTTCTTTGTTCCATATAGTAAAAACTATGTAGACACAGGTACTACTCTATTTATAATAGAAGAATATGAGTTAGTTCAAATTCAAATAAAGAATATCACAACTAACTATAGATAAAAGATAAAGATAAGATATCTAATAATCTAATATATCTAACATCTAAAGAGATCTCTAGGTTATCATATTTTTTCTTTTATGGTGACGTTTCTCCTATTGTATTCTGTCATCATGAAGATTATATGCAATAGCAATTTTTCAAGGACCAGATAAGGATCCTTCATGATTCAAGGGATGCAAGGGAGAAGATTTTGAGAAGATTCAACAGGAGAACGTGAGAAGTGATTGAAGCAGTCAAGCACTACTGGTCATCAATCGGAGGAATATAGACTACAGAGTTGTAATTTTTATTTCTTCCATTGGACTAATGATATATTCACATCTATAAAGTTTGTGAAAGTGTTACGTAGAAAATTGAATCAGTAACGAATTGTTTTACAGAAAAACTAATTTCACATAATCAGAAACTCAAGTTCCTGCTGCCCTAGTGGGTTAAAAATTATTTGGACAGGCATGGCATGATTATTTTACAATGGATTTTGGTGAATTTGATGTAGGGTGGAAGAATATCTAAAATTTGTTGAGGTTCAAGATAAAGAAATGGAGAATTTTGTTGCTGAAAAGGAGAAACTGTTGCATGCCCATCAAGTGGGTTATGCTGCTTTGAAGAAGAGGCATTGGGAGGAAGAGGTGGAGCATGAGCAGAAGTTTGATGAGGAACTTACCAAGCTCATGGAAAAGTATTCCCCTTCCTAGACAACTATGTTGGGGTTCTTTGCTTGGACTCATACAAAACATATAAACACAGCATTAACATTAATACAGAAAATAGAAGTGCCCAGACATTTACTACATATTCAGTGTAATGTTTTTTATTTCTTGGTACTTGTCAACATTGGTCCATGCCTGGAAACACAAACCATGTTAAAATTTTAAATTGGTGTGTTGTTTGGCAATTGGAAGTTTATATTTCATGTCAAGTTTGAGTTACTTTCTATCAAATGTGGGTCCTGATGATCTAGAGGTTGTGTTTTCTGTTGTGTGATTTTTGCTGTTTCTTTGTAATATTTTTTATAAAACTTAATCACGTTCCATTAATGCTTGACTGAAAAAAGGTAATGGCTGCTTTAAAATTGAGGCTAATGTAATGTGCAATTGGGAATTTTTCTTTTCATTTCTTTTAGCGGTTACTATTTTAGTTGTTTTTGAGGAAAACAAGAAAATGCTCTTTAGCTAACTGCGAAATAATATCACCTTCATTATTTTCGTTAAAGCGCCTTATATAAAAAAAATTGAGACGATTTCAATTTACTTTTCGAATTTTCTCATCTTACATATGATTGGATAGAAATTGTTTGATAATAATCATTGTTTATAAAGGATTCGAAACTTTTATGAACAGAAAAATATTGATTAGAAAGGAAGTTTTAAAGGCAATTGAATTATAGTACTTCGAGGTTGTGAGTGTTATTATTTAACATTAAAGAAATTATAAACATTAAACATGAAAAGTTACATTTTGTTGATCTTTTACTTCTTATCTGTTTGTACTCATATATATATATTATATATATATATATTAAATATAATATTCGTATTTTCTCTTGTAATGCATTGTTGTAGTTGGAATGGCATTAACTTGGATAAATTAACGATATCATATGATAAGATGTTGTAATATTTTTTATTTTCATGTTAAAGTCAACTGTTGTTATTTTTTTAATTGTCAGGGTTTTTTTTTGTCAACATAGACTAGTGTAATTTATAAATTAACAATATCTATAGTCTTTTTTTGTTATCATCAATATCAATTATATAATTTTCTATATGTTAAATACAAAATTTATTCTATTGAAGTTAAATGAGATAATTTTAGTAGATTCAAGTTATTTTTTAATGTGTTTCAAAAACATAAATCAATTTTTTTATTAATATTATAAAAAAATTAATAAAAGCATTTATTTTTTTATTAATTTTGCAAAGAAACTGATTAAAGCATTTCCAACAGAAGTATCATAAAAAAGGAAAGGATGTCTGAAAATATAAGCGTGGATTTGTTTCCTCACCTGCATATTTTGCAATTCTGCACAAACTAGAAGTATGTTGACCATGGTCATAGAATCTGGCAATAACATTTCAAGTGATACTAAATTACCAAACAGATGTAGTGCTTTTAACCATTCACCATTTGATGTGTACCCTGCAACAAGAGCATTCCACGTGACCAAATCCTTTGAATCCATTGTCCAAAACAAAGCTTCTGCTTCCCTCATTTGCCCAACTTTTAAGTAGAAGCTAATCAAAGCATTACAGACAGAAATATCAGCTGACAAATCAGGCCACTGTTGCACATAAGAGTGGATCTGCCTTCCACAACGGTATGCAACACTCTTATCAAATGAGGCACAAACAGGCAAAATATTTGCAGTAGTCGCATAATTTGGCTGCATATGCCCTTTCAACATTGAACTGAACAACAAGAATGGATCCTCCACTAACCCATTCTCAGCCAAGCCCGCAATCATTGCATTCCACGAAACAACATCTTTGTGAACAATATCATCAAAGACAGCATATGCTTCTCGGGACACCAGCCCACACTTTGCATACATTGACAGGAGAGCATTTCCAACGAGGGTATCTTGTTCGAAACCAGACTTGATAACATAAGTATGCACACACAATCTAGCATCCAGGTTCCCCAAACGAGCAAAAACAGGAAGGATAGTAGCAACAGAAATAGAATTTGGCATTGCCTCCCCACCAGTATGCATCATCTTAAATATCCTCATCACATCCGGATCACATTTGTTGGAACCTGAAAATCCAAACAAAACAATATTCCAAGTAACAGAGTCACGGTGATTGAGTTGAGCAAACAACTTGACGCAGTCCTCAAGCATGCCTCATTTGGCATACATGTTGAGCAGCCCTTTATTGGTAACCTGGCAAAAAACATGACCTTGTTTAACAACACAACTATGCACAGCTCTGCCCAATTTGGGAGCCAAAAGAGTAGAACAAGACTTGAGAATGGCAACCATGACAATGTGATCTGGTTTAAAAGCTTCATAACTCTTTAAGCAGAGGTGGAAAAGAGACAAGGCTTTGTTGTGTCTTGCATCTAAACACAAGCTCCAAACGATTGAACCCCATGTCCTGATATCCCGTCCAAGCATAGTTTTAGACTATCGTGTGAAAATTGAATGTTGTGGTCAAAGCAACCAAAAGCTTAGCATTTGAGCTTTCTAGTTCTTCCTTCTTATACAAAAAGAGAAGGGTAATTGTGTCTCTTGACATTTTCACAAACATGAGACGTGCAATGTGAAAAGTGGCAGTGATGAGTTCGAGTAGACATTAGTCACCACCGTTTATGAAGGTTACTTCGCCGGAAAAGTGACCGCCCGCAGCAGTGCCGGAATGGGCTGAGTTTTCTTTATTCAAATAAGAAGTGGGAAGCGGCGTACCCGTTTCACTCTAGTCGCTTGATGACATCTTTTATTATTTAGTTTTCTAAAATCATAAATACTCAATCTATCTATATATAATACACATAGGAATACAAAATATAAAAGAATTTTGACAAGTCTCACAACGTTTAAAAAAAAAGCACAAACGAAAATAAAATAAAGCTCAACTCAAATAGGAAAAAAGAATATAATCATGACTTCTTGAAATGAAAACGTGTGTAGCACACATATTTCTGATGGATAAGCATATGTGTTTTTTAATTAACTTTTGATAACGTGGAATTGTAATTTGCAGAGGATAGTAGTACGAAATTGAAAGTTTTGTCCTTTTCAAACTCTATCATTCGAAAATCTAGTTTTTCAAACCCTTTGCATTCCAAAGACCTTCCTCCCCAATTTCTCGTGATTTTTTTGTTTGTTGCATTGTGTTGATCCTTTGATCTTCTATGATTTTCTTGTTTGTCATTGTGTTATGTTTTTGCCTTTTCGAAACTTTTTTGCAAAACCTTTTTTTTAACCTTTTGTTGCACAAAAACCTGTGTTTTGTGGGTTTTGTTGGTTTTTGTTATCGTTGTTCATTTCATCGAAGCACCATTCAAGGTTGTGTGTTGGGTGTTTTGTGTCATTCATTGGAATGAATATGTTTTTGTAGTTGTCTTTTTTCTGTTTTACGAATCTTTTGGTTTCTGTTTTTTTGTTATCCTTTTCTTTGATTTTTTGTTTTATATCTATGTTGTTTATTTATCTAAAATAGAGAAAAGTGGTGAAGTTGCTCAATATAGTGGTGACATCAAGGTTGGTATTTTTGTATGATAGTACTAATAATTTTGCTTATGTATATGACTTACAATAATGCTTGTTTATGCCGTTGTATTTTTGTCATGCCACATGAAGTTAATAAGTGCTTAAAGGTTGAGTATGGAATATAGAGCTTTTATTCGAAACACACTCTTTACTTGGAATAGAATACAAAATATGTTTATTTCGAAAATATTATTTGTTTTGTTATGTGCTTAGATAAGTGATTTTAGGGTTTGTGTAACCCTTGTGTTGTGGCTTTGAGAACATGACATTTGGAATAGAGCGAGAACTTTCACGGGGAGTGTGATTGAGTGTTGTTGTTGTTGCTGAGTTGAAAGCTTGTAATCCATTGTGAAGATTCAAAGGAGGTGTTCATCCTTTGTGAAGATTCAAATTAGGTGTCCTTCGTGAAGCATTCGGAGGAGGTGTTCATCCCTTGTGGGTTGTTGGGGAAGTGAGTTTCATCTCTTTGGGTAACAAGACAGGTGTTCTAACCTTAAACTTGTTTATTTTCTTTGTGATTGTAACCGTTTTTTGGTTTGTGCTAGTGCGGCGTTAATTCTCGGATCAGATTAACAACTGGACATAGGATCTGTGAGATCCGAACCAGTATAAAAATTACCTGTGCAATTTTCTCTTTTCATTACTCTTTAATTTATTTAAATTAATTTTAAGGAACTTATGTAATTGTAAGAAACGATCTGTGATAAGAAACCAATTCAACCCCCTTCTTGGTTTGTTGTACGCGCTAATGATGACAAATTTATGAACACCGAAAAACGGCGCCACAAACTTGTTTAACAATCGGCAAGTGTGACCGAATCGTATCAAGTAATAAAACTCGGTAAGACCAAGTATCGTTCTCCCAAAGGACTCACGGCCTAGTTTAGCTATGTGATTTGTTGATTATTTAAGACTTAAGAACAAATTGATTATAGGTTTTAATGCAAAAGACAATAACTAAACATGTATGCATGAAGTTGATCAATGGAAAAGAACAGAACAAACACTTCAATGAATTATATGGATGAGTATGTTGTTGGGGTTATCAATTTCATCTTATCCGCTCTCATATATTTTCAGGAATTCATCATTCTTATCATCAATGCTAATGCCACTCTCTAAATTACCTTGCAAGAAGGCCTATCCCTAATTACGAGTTCATACAATTCCTAGCATTCCTAGTAATTAGTTCTTAAAGTGCAGGAGCTTAAAGGCAACCAATATGCTATTGCGAGAAATTCCCCGGATCTAGACTTCCCCGTACGTTCCCGTATCGACAAAATCAATAATCATGGCAATGAATGAGTTAAACAAAGCAAGCAATAAGCAAAGAGGAAAAACCCTAGCTAAAGATGAAAGAAAGCATATATCTTAATATAAGACATTAAATCAAATTCCATATATGAGAGTTTCACAAGACTACATTGATTCCCCAACAACAATACAAGGTTTAGTTCACCATATTCATGGTGAAACTAGATGAA